CGTTTCAAGCAGAATGTTAGAATGGGATTTTGTCACAATTCCCGCAGTGCTGCTAAAATGTGAACCTGGCTTAAGAGAGGGGCACAGACGGCAATAAAGAGCTGTCCGGGGTTCTAATCCCTCCCCACTCTATCAATCTAAAATGTTACATTTTTGTTTTTAGTTATACTTTAATTCTGCGATTTTCCCAGTTTCTCTTTAGGGGTATCTGCCATCTTTTTTCATTTTTTTTTTTGTTATTGAAGCCCCATTCTAATCTTTCCTTACGTCCCCTGAGCCTCCTGTAAGTAGCCCTGTAAGTAGCCCATGCGATGACACCTTCTACGCCCGTTCTTCATGTGCGTCCTGAGCGAGAAGGCGACAAGCAGCCATCCATCTGCCATCTAAAGAGCATGACTGAGGACGCTGTTAAAGGGAGGATCGCACGGGCCGCGGCGATGACCTCTGTAATTACAGAACTCTTTGTCTCCATCAGATTGGGGCTGTGACTAATGAAAGCCATTCTGCCATGATGAGCTAGGGATACTCGCCCACCTCCTTCATTTGCTGCTTGGCATAACCCGATCAGCATCCTGATTTTCCATCCCAGGCTCCACTGCAAATGTACATTTTAGAGATTTAAAGGAGCCTTCCAGCTCAAGCTGAAAATTAACCCTTGCATATAAATGATACCAGGCTAGTTCAACCAGAACAGAATAAATGGACTGAAAACCTCCATATACAGAACCCTATACACACACATCGTAGATCCAGAGGAAGGCAAAAAAAATGGTTCTACAATTTGCTCCACCAGGGACAACAAAAATTCTTCCTGGTTACCCAAAACAACCGGATGTTCCTTAGATCAACAATGTCTGTGTTATTACTTATCACTAGTAATAGCCGTTTATATTCTGTGCATTTAAGAAGAACACCAGTTACATCCATGAGTAATAAGTATCTAAATACAGCTAGTAGAAGTACCTTTGTTCTTTGAATGTATTGGCTACTACCCTTTTCGACAGCACTCAGTCTGAGTGGGGCACAGAACTCTGAGCTGCTCAGGCTTCTACGACACTTACACAGGGTTCTCAGTCTAACACAGGGGATATACTTACAGGTGGGCAGAACTTTGGGGATACCTTCATTTGGTGTCCTGTTTCTTTCATTGTAATCAGCAGGATCAGGGCTGGCCAGTGACCAAACTGTGCTACTTAGGGTGCACTTACACTGAACCATACCCAACTTTGATTGCCTCCCCTTCCCGCTGCCCCTACTAGTCTGCTTTTACTTCGGGCTTTTAGCAAGTGTCCCCTGGCACACGCACATGGAGAGTTCTGCGCTGGGTGATCTATGGAGAGTTTCTGCGCTGGGTGATCTATGGAGAGTTCTGCGCTGGGTGATCTATGGAGAGTTCTGCGCTGGGTGATCCTGGGTGATCTATGGAGAGTTCTGCGCTGGGGGATCTATGGAGAGTTCTGCGCTGGGTGATCTATGGAGAGTTCTGCGCTGGGTTATCTATGGAGAGTTCTGCGCTGGGTGATCTATGGAGAGTTCTGCGCTGGGTGATCTATGGAGAGTTCTGCGCTGGGTGATCTATGGAGAGTTCTGCGCTGGGTGATCTGTGGAGAGTTCTGCGCTCGGTGGTCTATGGAGAGTTCTGCGCTCGGTGGTCTATGGAGAGTTCTGCGCTCGGTGGTCTATGGAGAGTTCTGCGCTGGGTGATCTATGGAGAGTTCTGCGCTCGGGTGGTCTATGGAGAGTTCTGCGCTGGGTGATCTATGGAGAGTTCTGCGCTCGGTGGTCTATGGAGTATTCTGCGCTCGGTGGTCTATGGGAGTTTCTGCGCTCGGTGATCCATTGAGAGTTCTGCGCTCGGTGGCCTATGGGGAGTTCTGCGCTCGGTGGCCTATGGAGAGTTCTGCGCTCGGTGGTCTATGGGGAGTTCTGCGCTCGGTGGCCTATGGAGAGTTCTGCGCTCGGTGGCCTATGGAGAGTTCTGCGCTCGGTGGCCTATGGAGAGTTCTGCGCTCGGTGGCCTATGGAGAGTTCTGCGCTCAGTGGCCTATGGAGAGTTCTGCGCTCGGTGGCTTATGGAGAGTTCTGCGCTCGGTGGCCTATGGAGAGTTCTGCGCTCGGTGGCCTATGGAGAGTTCTGCGCTCGGTGGCCTATGGAGAGTTCTGCGCTCGGTGGCCTATGGAGAGTTTCTGCGCTCGGTGGCCTATGGAGAGTTCTGCGCTCGGTGGCCTATGGAGAGTTCTGCGCTGCGCTATCGGTGGCCTATGGAGAGTTCTGCGCTCGGTGGCCTATGGAGAGTTCTGCGCTCGGTGGCCTATGGAGAGTTCTGCGCTCGGTGGCCTATGGAGAGTTCTGCGCTCGGTGGCCTATGGAGAGTTCTGCGCTCGGTGGCCTATGGAGTGTTCTGCGCTCGGTGGTTTATGGGGAGTTCTGCGCTCGGTGGCCTATGGAGAGTTCTGCGCTCGGTGGCCTATGGAGTGAGTTCTGCGCTCGGTGGCCTATGGAGAGTTCTGCTCTCGGTGGCCTATGGAGAGTTCTGCGCTCGGTGGCCTATGGAGAGTTCTGCGCTCGGTGGCCTATGGAGTGTTATGCGCTCCGTGGCCGATGGAGAGTTCTGCTCTCGGTGGTCTATGGAGAGTTCTGCGCCCGGTGATCCATGGAGTGTTCTGCGCCCGGTGATCTATGGAGAGTTCTGTGGTCAGGCACAGTTTGTGCTCACAATGATGTGCACCGTACAGGACCGCAAGTGAACTGTGCCCAGAACCACCTTTTTAAAGTGGTCCTGGGAATGGTACGCGTAACTGTTCCTGGGCCCAGTTCGAAGCAGTCACACTACACAAAGTAACCGTGGAGGGTCAATTATGCCCAGACATGGTTAACACTGCCCTTTGCACAGTGCATAAAAGTGAGGTCATTGACCTGGTTGTGGTGTTTGGTTGGGATTCCTTGGTCACAAGACTGGTTGAACACCATGCATAAAAAGGCATGTAATGGGGTAAAGGACAAGCTGCCAGGAGACCACAGGCAATACTGGGGTCTAGCCCTTTGCCCTCTGCTTGGACACAACAGAACATGTCCTTGTTAAATAATGTTCTATCTGCAATATAATAAACCTACCTTTCATATCGGTACAAGTACAACAAGCTTACTAGTGGGCGGCTGAGACTTTTTCTTGCCCATCACCATTCTTCTGGTCTCAGCCATGCTCAACCATGGTTTTGTGAAACCCTAGGGGTTCCTACAGAGGTTGCTTAGAGGTTCCTTGAACCTAATGACCTCCCATCTGATGGCACCTAGATCATTTCCATGTGCGGGGTCACTTGGGAGATCCAGCGGCATGACACCAATGATCTTGTTAACTCTTGGTAAGGATGGGGTATTCTTTTCACCACCCCCTATGAATTCCCTGAGACCTAAACATTATTGCAAGGGTTCCTCGGGGGCAAAAAGTGTGACAAATGTTGCTCTAGCACAAGATAAACCCTTTGGAATCCACTTTCTATTCACCATCTACAGTACTTTGTATTTTCCAAGTTCACCTCTTGTTTTTCTCGTGCAGTCTCTAGTGGAGCCTCTGTGAACTGTGCCTGGCAGAAGTCTTCTATGACTTCTCGGGCCGATAGATTCTTGGCATACCGTCAGTTTCCTGCCATGCGTAATTGGAGGGGGAGAGACGGTGAGCGCGTGACTGAGGGGGATATTCCAGATGCCGCATGTGACATTACATGTACAGCAACGGCCCTCCTTGTTTTTTTAGAAACCAAAACAAAGTTTTTGAACTCCAAACAGGGGAAACACGTGGTGGGACATCTCTGCCGGTTCCACTTACATTGTAGGAAGCTGCGGTCACAATCCACATCTATTCTGGGCAATGCCGCATTAACCGTTTCTTAGGCTTTCAGGAGAATGTTTCCAAAAGGTCTCAAAGCTTTCTTCTTCAAGTTGACACCAAGGTTCATTTCAAATTCATGGGTCACATCTGAGGTCAGGTTTGTAGGAGAAGTTCAAAGTATTGAAATAAAGTGGACCTGTATCTTGTATATACTAAGCAAAGCAGTGGTTTGATATACAGGAGGTGACTGGTGGCGGTCAGTGCTGGAGCCTTATGGATCCTCCGGTAACATTGACTACTATGAGTCAATACGGGTCGGCTATTATAGACAATGCAAGATTTTACTTCATGCCACTGACCAGCATTGGATGTTTGAAGATACCTGCCAGCCAATCAAGAGGCCGAAAACTTGGCACCCGAAGATGAAGATGACAGCAGCCGGTGAGGGTAGTAACCGTCATATTGCGGGAAGGTGGAGGAGAATATCGTGGAGTTTAGTTGAACCCAAAACCAGAATTTGTATTATATTTCAGCTTACCAATCATTAGGTGTGGTGGCTGCATTACTTTTCTTTTTCATACGTGGTGACGCACTTCCGGCGCGGCGCCATCTTGGTACACCCTCAGCCACACGCATACACCCATGCTATGGGAAACAGCTTGTATGTTATTTGGCAAATGTGAGTGTATTATACATTTATTTTCCGGCATTTATTATTAAACGGTTTTACACTATGGAGGATGTCTTTTGCTTCCTTTATCCCATGGGTGCTTGAGCTGGGGTGCATCCTGCTCAGCTCACCTCGGAGGATACCACAGGAGAGGTGGAAGCTGTATACTGGGGATTTACCAACCATCCACTCAAGAAGAAGCATACCTTGACTCAGTGGGGATCTGATAAAGCTCTGTGGCCCTGCAGGGTCGCAGGGAGGAGGTGAGAGGCCACTTCAGCTGATTTCGGATTGCACGTGGTGGTGTGCGGGCCCACATACAGTCCAAGGACTCTGTTTGAGTGCAAATATTGATACAGGATCACTGGACTTTATATTCATATATGTGCACTGTGTGTAGGGGTTACACATCTGTTTTCCATTTTGTCAGTATCATCACGCACATATATGTATTATGTTCATATAGGATTTTAACATCATGCTGCATGTCCTAAGGCACTGATGCTTTTACTGGGTGTTTTAGCGCTACATCATTTGTATTTCTTCTGCATTGTTTTGATCTTGGGGTATTGGATCAGATGTTAGCAGCTTCACACGTTTACCAATTGTATTTTACATAGGAGCGCAAGCAGATTCTTAATTATCATCTTGACAATTCATGGGGCCCTCGGGCTATAGGAGATCATGGGGCCCCTGTGTCCTTGCCCACACTCAAACCAGACTCAAAAAAGCCTATGAAAGGTACTTGGGGAATCTCATGGGGCCCCCTACTGACCCTGGGCCCTTGGGCAGTGCCCATGTGCCCGAATGCCAGTAACACACCTCCTGTATTAGTAAGACACATCTCTGGAGGGATGAGTACAGGAGGCACGGCAGAGAAGCAGCATTGTCAGTTTGAAGGGAAGCGGACGAGTAAATGTACTAGCAGATTTAAATACACTAACAAATGGAACCCAACTCCAGCTCACATTTTATAATCTGTTACAACAAAGAGTTTTTTTTAAGGCTTTACATACATAAATATAAGCTGATCATTGTAAGCACCATTGTCAGTGTTAAATAGTTTCAGTCAGGGCTTTTTTTCTTAGAGAATAGGTGCGGGAACTCCCCCTTTCTGAGTCCCCTCTTGTCTCCGCCCCCCACCCTCCTGTGAGCACCTCCCAGTTTTGCCCCTTTTGGAGAATACACAACCAAGTATCATTTTGTTGTGCTAAATAATTTGTATAGAATTAGTTAATGAAAACAAGAAAAGCAGTAAAATAGATTCCCTGCAGCCAACAACAATAGAACCCCCCAGCAACAATAGACCCCCCAAACAGTAGACTCCCCCAGCAACAATGGACCCCACCCCAGCAACAGTAGGTCCCTGGAGCAACAATAGACCCCACTCCAGCAACCATAGACCCTACAACAGCAACAATAGATCCATCACAGAACAACAATGTACCACCTACACAAAATACCACCCCAGCAACATTATACCCCCCAGCAGTAACAACAGATCTCCCATCAGCCACCATTAATTTACCTCCCTCCAACCAGGAGCCAGCAACCTCTTTCTCAACAGTAGATCCCTACCAGCAACAATAGACCTCCAGCAACAGTATATCCCCCAGAAGTAACAATAGACCCTGTCACAAAATAGATCCCCTCCAATGACCATAGATCCCCCAGCATCAGTAGACCCTCCAGCACACCCCTTGCCATTACATACTTTCAGTGCTGGAGGTGGCGGAACTGCGTTTCTGCTGGGGAACTTGTTCTTTTGAAAGACTTGCTGGCAGGATCACCAGATGAAAATAGAAGATAGAAAACCTAATAAAGAAAACTAAAGCAGCCATCACATCTAAGAATTGGTAAGCTGAAATATAATAAATGTTTGCTTTTTGGGTTCAATACCGCTTGAACTCCTGCTGAGTAGTGGTATCATCTCTCATTGGCCAGTCAAGACCACTGCAGACCCGGCACCCACAAAGAAGCCGGGGAGAAGAAGCCAGCAAAGGACGATGGAGCACAGGGGAGTATTTGCAGCTTTAGTTCCACTTTAACATGACAATGATATCTGATGACACGTCCACTTTAAATCGAACTCTTGGAGTTGGGTCCGGCGGGCTGACTGTCTCCAGCCGCTCAGTGTGTCAGCTGGGTGCGTCCCCGATCCAGGTGTTTCCTGTTTTGGAGTTCCACTCCATATTTTCTGGATGAGGTCATTGGACATGTACAGTTAGGCGTATGACCCTTACATTTCTGATAAAGGGGTGGAAACGCTACTCGGCTGCCTTGAAAAATGCGTGCTGCCACTGTGTAGGGTGACACGGGAGGGTGATGGGGGACCGGTGACATCACCAAGGCCTGACCGGCAAAATGCCACCATGGTGACAATACTTCCTGAAGAGGAATCTCCCTACTGCGAATCAGATGATTGCAAGCAGTGTTAATCCCAAAAGCAAACCTTTATTATATTGCAGTTTACTAGTTCTATCATGTGATGGCTGCATTAGTTTTCTTTTTTTGGGCTTTCTATGTTTCATCTGGTGATCCAGACAGCAAGTTTTTTTTTTTTTTTTTGTTTTTTTTTAAACAATCTCTCCAGCAGAATGTATCAGTTTACAGGGATGAGGTATACCACTTCACCCTCAAACACAAATGCTCCTGCGCTTGGGGATGGACTCGATGCAGGCTACAACCACATTAAGAATGTCCTGGAACATGCACACCTTGCTGCCCTCAATAGACCGGGGAAATCCAAATATACTGAATGAGGAAAGAACAAACAGAGGGCACACGGGCCTAGTGCATTACCATAAAAATCTCCTAGATTGTAAGCTCCTAGGATCAGGGCCCTCCTATCCCTCTTGTATTGAACTGTATTGTTGCTGTATTGTCTCCCGTTATATTGTAAAGCGCTGAGCAAACTGTTGGCGCCATAAATCCTGTATAATAATAATATATAAATCCTGTATAATATAATAATAAAATAATAATAATATATAAATCCTGTATAATAATAATAATATATAAATCCTGTATAATAATAATATAATAATAATAATAATATATAAATCCTGTAATAATAATAATAATATATAAAATAATAATAATATATAAATCCTGTAAAATAATAATAATATATAAATCCTGTATAATAATAATAATATATACATCCTGTATAATATATAAATCCTGTAATAATAATATATAAATCCTGTATAATAATATAATAATAATAATAATAATAATATATAAATCCTGTATAATAATAATAATAATATATACATCCTGTATAATAATAATATATAAATCCTGTAAAATAATAATAATATATAAATCCTGTATTATAATAATAATAATAATAAATGTTTAATAAGAAATAAAATAGGTGTTGTACTCACAAATGGCAATAAAGTCAAGGCACATCATAAAAGAACAGCTGGGTCAACACCGCGCTGAGTAACAGTCCGCAATAGGAAGTGTAGACATCCAATAGGCTGACGCGTTTCGAGGACTTGCCTCTTCCTCAGAGCCACAGTGAGTACAACACCTATTTTTATTTCTTATTAAACATTTTTTATGGTAATGCACTAGGCCTGTGTGCCCTCTGTTTGTTCTTTACTTATACCACTTAACCCTGACAGGGGTGCTTACAATGATCAGCTTTTTTTAATGTAAAACCTTTATCCAAAAAGGAAAAAACTGCTGTAAGTAATTATAAAACATGAGCTGAAGTTTGGGATCAATTTGTTGGTGTATCTAAATCTGCTAGTATATCTAACACTCCCCAGACTGACAATGTCTGCTGTGCCTCCTGTGCTCATTCCCGAAGGGTTGTGTCCAGTGCCAGGACAACGTCATCCAGATGCCAAACTGCGCCCCCCCCCCCCCCCATTCATGTTATGCAAGCTTAGTGGATCATACACCCAGCAGTCACTCGCTTGTCAAAATCACTGCCATTGTCACTTCTCCTGCCAGCCTGGTAAGAGAAGGAAGGCGCCCCCATCCTGCCAGCCTGGTAAGAGAAGGAAGGCGCCCCCATCCTGCCAGCCTGGTAAGAGAAGGAAGGCGCCCCCATCCTGCCAGCCTGGTAACAGAAGGAAGGCCCCTCCATCCTGCCAGCCTTGTAAGAGAAGGAAGGCGCCCCCATCCTGCCAGCCTGGTAAAGAAGCGCCCCCATCCTGCCAGCCTGGTAAGAGAAGGAAGGCGCCCCCATCCTGCCAGCCTGGTAAGAGAAGGAAGGCGCCCCCATCCTGCCAGCCTTGTAACAGAAGGAAGGCGCCCCCATCCTGCCAGCCTTGTAACAGAAGGAAGGCGCCCCCATCCTGCCAGCCTTGTAACAGAAGGAAGGCGCCCCCTTCCTGCCAGCCTTGTAACAGAAGGAAGGCGCCCCCATCCTGCCAGCCTGGTAACAGAAGGAAGGCGCCCCCATCCTGCCAGCCTGGTAAGAGAAGGAAGGCGCCCCCATCCTGCCAGCCTGGTAAGAGAAGGAAGGCGCCCCCCTTCCTGCCAGCCTTGTAACAGAAGGAAGGCGCCCCCATCCTGCCTGCCAGCCTTGTAACAGAAGGAAGGCGCCCCCATCCTGCCAGCCTTGTAACAGAAGGAAGGCGCCCCCATCCTGCCAGCCTGGTAACAGAAGGAAGGCGCCCCCATCCTGCCAGCCTGGTAACAGAAGGAAGGCGCCCCCATCCTGCCAGCCTGGTAACAGAAGGAAGGCGCCCCCATCCTGCCAGCCTGGTAAGAGAAGGAAGGTAAGCCTGAGAAGGAAGGCGCCCCCACCCTGCCAGCCTGGTAAGAGAAGGAAGAAGGCGCCCCCATCCTGCCAGCCTGGTAAGAGAAGGAAGGCGCCCCCACCCTGCCAGCCTGGTAAGAGAAGGAAGGCGCCCCCACCCTGCCAGCCTGGTAAGAGAAGGAAGGCGCCCCCCATCCTTGCCAGCCTGGTAAGAGAAGGAAGGCGCCCCCATCCTGCCAGCCTGGTAACAGAAGGAAGGCGCCCCCATCCTGCCAGCCTGGTAAGAGAAGGAAGGCGCCCCCATCCTGCCAGCCTGGTAAGAGAAGGAAGGGTAAGAGAAGGAAGGCGCCCCCACCCTGCCAGCCTGGTAAGAGAAGGAAGGCGCCCCCCCCTGCCAGCCTGGTAAGAGAAAGAAGGCGCCGCCATCTTGCCAGCCTGGTAACAGAAGGAAGGCGCCCCCATCCTGCCAGCCTGGTAAGAGAAGAAAGGCGCCCCCATCCTGCCAGCCTGGTAAGAGAAGGAAGGGCCCCCCCCCTGCCAGCCTGGTAAGAGAAGGAAGGCGCCCCCATCCTGCAAGCCTGGTAAGAGAAGGAAGGCCCCCCCATCCTGCCAGCCTGGTAAGAGAAGGAAGGCCCCCATCCTGCCCCCCCCATCCTGCCAGCCTGGTAAGAGAAGGAAGGCCCCCCCATCCTGCCAGCCTGGTAAGAGAAGGAAGGCGCCCCCACCCTGCCAGACTGGTAAGAGAAGGAAGGCCCCCCACCCTGCCAGACTGGTAAGAGAAGGAAGGCCCCCCCCATCCTGCCAGCCTGGTAAGAGAAGGAAGGCGCCCCCACCCTGCCAGCCTGGTAAGAGAAGGAAGGCGCCCCCACCCTGCCAGCCTGGTAAGAGAAAGAAGGCGCCGCCATCCTGCCAGCCTGGTAACAGAAGGAAGGCCCCCCCCTCCTGCCAGCCTGGTAACAGAAGGAAGGCGCCCCCATCCTGCCAGCCTGGTAAGAGAAGGAAGGTGCCCCCACCCTGCCAGCTTGGTAAGAGAAGGAAGGCGACTGCCAGCCTATCCTGCCAGCCAGGTAAGAAAAGGAAGGCCC